ACAATTAAAGTCTTATTGTTTACCTCTTCGGGTAAGGAGAGTTGAGGCTATGATCTTATCTACAGACTTGGCACACTACTTACGGTTACCTTTTCAATCATACTTATTTATCATTGTTATTTTTATTTTGAACTATTTATTTATTTGCTTGAATTAATTTACATATTTATACACAGATTGCTTAAGTGGAAAATGTAGAGAATGATGGTGGTGATCAGGCCAAAAAGAAAAATGATGACAGGGGGTCCACTATCTCAAGTGAAATTCATGGAGCAAACAGTGAAAAGCTTAATCTTTCTAGGAAACAGTTTTTCAGACGTAGAAAGAAGACCCTGGCTGCACTAGGTCCCATCCATACTTGTGCTCGAGCAAAGATGAAATTTCCCAGAGACAACAAACCAGTGCTTGATGGTATGTGGACGACATTAATATGCACTGTATCAAAACCTGAGATGACCAATTACATCAAGAATTAAAATATTTGCATGCAAGAGATAATTCCAAGTATTATCAGAAGCAAAATTAAAGATTATGAATGCTGAGCAAGAAGAATAGAGTGAGAAGCTTGCGTGTGCTTTATGAAGGAGGCCTCACAAGCAAGACAAAGTACACAACATCAGGAACAGTTCAGAGGTTGTAAGAGAAACTGAAAAGAAAAAGGAAAACATGAAGACAGAATTTACGACAGGATGCAAAGTTCCAAACATTTTGCCCAACAAAACACTGATGAGCTTTGTCAGAAGCATAGAAATTGGTGAAGTACTATCCTTGGATGATATGGCTAGTAAATATTCACTAGAATCAATGTCTGGTGTATACAGACCATTGAAGCCTTTTCTTCTGAAGTTTGCAGATCTGTACTTGTTTCTGAACAGCAAAACCCCCCTGCCTACACTGGTTCAATGGAGAGAAAGGAGTTTTGCATGTAGCAATTGGTGCAGATGGTGCTCCCTTTGGGAAGGATGATACAGCAACAGGTAGATTATTATTTTCTCCAGACTGAGGATACTAGACTGATATTGTATCATTAATTTAGCCATAAGACATGATAATGTTACTCATCTGTCAAACTCAGAAAACCATGAACACCTGAAATGTTTCAGCAATGTTGATTACATGGTGACTTATTACATTAAAGTTCAGGCAAGCCAACCTCAAAACCACAAACTAATTACCATTGCTGTTTACGGTTCAGTTTTCTCACACCTGATTGGCTTTTTCCTTGTAACACTATAACATTCCATAAATACTTCTGGTGTTCATGGTTTCCTTAGTTTCACAGTAAATCACTCAGTGCATCTGAGTCCTCTCTTTGAACTAATTGTTTTGTAATTTGATGTCAAATATACTTGTTATTAATTATGACATTCAAGCTCTGGAAAATATATATTGAATAACTACTTTGATCATTATGATATTGACTATTTCCTAATTAGTACAAATATGTTAGTGTTCAATACTATTTAATAATTTGCCACCTTTTAAACTACACCTATTTTGTCTGATGAAATGTTTTTGTTTCATTTATAGCATACCTTGTGAGCATTCTGAACCTCCTAAACAGGGTGGAGAGTTGCAATGACAACCACCTTCTTATGGGTGCTAATTGTGCTGAAGATACTCCACTAATGAAGCAGTATACAAAGCACTTGGTCCAAGAAATGGAGCTCATGGAAGGGGCTAAAGTAACTACTGACCAAGGCCATGTAGTTGAATTTAGATTTCAGCTGATCCCAAGTGACATGAAATGGGTTTCATCAATGTCTGGAGAGCTTAATAACTGTGCTATCTACTTTTCTCCCTTTGCCAATGTGAACCAGACAAACAAAGTGACCATAGGTGGCTCAATCAGTGGACCTAAAGAAACCTGGCAACCATGGGATTACAAGAGGAGAATTGAAGTTGCAGAGAAGGTTGAGAAGTTTAAAGCTAAACTTAAGGATCCTGTGGGAAAACAAAGAGCAGAGGTCACCGAGTTCATTGCTAAGAAAAATCTAGGCAATAATGTGTTCCCCCACTGGGCAAATATGTGGATTTGGTCAAGGCAGAGCCCCTCCACAACACCAATAATGCCTGGCAGCAATGGTTTTCAGCCCTCCTGACACTTGCCATGCTGTGCACTGACCAAGCTAAACTCAAGACAGCAACAGCGGTGTTAGATCTTCCAAACACATCACCAGTGGTAGCATTTCTAAATTGTGTGAGGGGAACTGCAAAGTGTGGAAGGCTTTACAACAGTTTCAACAGGTGGTTCAGCGAGAAGAGAAAAAAGGGAGTTTCTTTCTCTTACAGATTCACTGGATTGGAATCAAAGAGGTTTTCATGGAACTTCACCTACCTTATTCAGGAACTACTGAAGATAAACAATCTATCAAGTGGGCCTATGGTGAAACTGCACACATTGGCATTTACTCTTGTGAAAATTGGGGATGCTGCTGCCATTTACTCCAGGGTAGATGTAAACAAGCAGCAAGTTGAGCATTTGAAGATCTTGGGCCAGCACTACTTCACAGCAAATCGCCTGCTATTAAGTGGTGTGAATCCCACTGTGTGGACACTGAGATATGCCATCCTATATCACACTGACCAGCTGTTGGAGAAACTTGGGTTTGGACTTGGCCTTAACTCCATGCAGGGTCGAGAGGCCAAGCACATCAAGCTGGCAAAGTATGTTGAAAATACTTGCAATGTCAAAAAAAGCATAAGGTGGTGGATTGTGTTCTGCGATGAATTTGTTTGTCTCTTGTGGCTTAGAGAGATGGATCCTTTCAGTGTTTCTTAGCAGCAAGAGAAAAAGAATGCCTGTGACTCCTACATCCCTAAGAGGGTGAAGGACCATGATAACAGGTTTTGTTATTGTGGTCTTTCAAAGTCAAATGCACATGATTGCACAATTTGCACAAGCAATATGATGCAGCTAGTCAAGAAAAGTGTTGTTGCTGGAAAAGTTAACAATGAACTCAAGCAGTTCCTTAAATAATGTGTTTTTTTTGTCATTTCAGTTAACTTTAATTAAAACTAGTATTTGTTGTCATGCAGAACTACCACAGGCAGTGAGGAAACCTATCCATCCAGTTAAGTGTTTCACTTGCCTGCCAGCACATTTACACAACAGGGCCCAGTTGTTCGAAGACCGATTAGCGCTAACCCAGGGTTAAATGTTAATCCAGATTTCTATATCTCTCTGTTCAAAAGCCGTTTTAGGATAATTTTCCCAGTTATTCTTAGAGCATTCAATCACCTCAGATCTGCAATTAAATTTTACGGTAATCCTGGGTTATCTTAATCCGCCTTTGAACAACCCGGCCCAGTTGTTTAATAATAATGTAAACAATTTTGTTTATTAACATTTTTAACACAGTGTTAATATTGTAGTACTTCTTCAGTTCAATAGATGTATTCAAAAAATAGAGTCCACAAATATTGATAAGCCATATGGCTAGCTAGCTAATATGCTAAGATTATTAACAGAAATTATTTTGAAAAAATCAAACAATCATTAAATGATACTAAAAATGAAAATTAGTTTTTTTCTGTAATCAAATGTATATCAATAAGGATTTCTCTAGTGCTGTGGTACACCGCTCATGTTCCAGTATCCATAGTGAAATTTCACGGTCAGAACCTCGTTTTTCTTGTGAAATCTCAATTCTAGTGGCTTCTCATCCGAAACAATCACCTCACACCTCTCCATTTCACTATTTAGTGGCTTTTTTAAGATATTTTCCCGGTCTGCTTTAGCACCGTCAATGTCCATCCTCTTGAACAAATATAGGGCCTTTCGAAAATCGTTGATTTTGTAAAACAGTTGGGTGTTCGTCTCACTAAATTCATGGCCAAAATTTGTTTGGTCCAGGATATCTTTTGAGATACCTAAAAACACTTCCATTGGCATGTCCACTGTGAACTCTCCACACCATGGATTTGCCAGTTCCGGTCTTGAATTGAGCCGGCGTATAATTTTTGCATGGATCTTTCTAAGGGCTCTGGCCACCATTCCGCGTGCAGGCAACAGCCTTTGGATATTGCGATCTCTTGAGCGCTGACTGAATTTATCTTCCAAGACTCCCAAGGCACTATCAAGCTCTCCAAAGAATTCATTCACGTTTTTTATTCCATCCCCACTTGCAACTTGACTTAAGCAGTCTGATTTAGCACGTTGCAAAGCAGGTCGAAGTGTTTCAGCAAACTCCACTTTGGCGGCCATGTTGGATTTTAGGTAGAACAATTCTAATTTCCCACCATTTTGAAATTTACCCATAGGTAACCTCGGGCTCCTGAAGACCCATTGGAGGGGTAGTACACTGTTTCAAAATATTATGACTGCTATATATCTCCATCCGAGATCCTTTGCAGTCGCTTGTTTTTGTTTTGGAATCGCGTTAATGTTAAATGGCGAACTCTGATAGTCAGTCACAAACAGTATTAAAAAGAAAAACAAAGATTTGCTGAAGAACACAGTAAACAAATTTGCAGCTAAATATTTGAGACTGAAAAATCATAAATCGAGTCTGTGTATAAAACTTGTACAAAGCTTACCTGATGTTGAAGGAAATTGTTCGGCTTCAACACTAAATAAAATATCAACAAATAACCAATATTGGCCAAAACTGATTTACTTTACGCATTTCAATGATAGAATAATGACTTGTACAAAAGAGATCGCTTACATACATATCTCAGGATCTGAAGTAAAAATCAGTCAAATAATTATTCTCACCTCGAAAAAATCTCCCCGGAGTCTCTAGTTCCATCGTAGGAACAATGCAATAATATTTCTGCAAAAGCACTGTCTGTAGTGTTACCGAAACCCATGGTTGTTTTCCTTGCCCTCCATAAATCATACACGGACTCTCGAAGTCGAATAAGCTTTGAACTAAATTAAGGCCCAAAAACTTGACCAACTTATCGGTTCCCAAATCGCTAACCACTCATCACCAGAAAACCTCAAAACTGTAGTTACCATTCCAGAAAACCTCTCACTTTCCGATTCAGAAAAAATCCGTCCTCAGTAAGGGCTCAAATTTTGTTCTCATTTCTAAAACAACGGACGAATTCTCAATTAAACAAGACGTAGAAAAATTCCTTCGCCGCGTTCAATTAAAAGCCTTTTTTCACAACAAAGAGGATGATTCTAACACCTCGAACAAAGACACTTTCGAAACACTTCAGACTCGAAAGTCTAAATGGACTCCCCCAGAGGGCCAATTCGCATCATTAGACTTTTTTATCAAAAAATGCCGCCACGATATCAACAAACTCAATTTCAAACGTATTACCAAATTTTCTAATCTCTCTTCTGAAGAGTGGTCGGCTCTAAAAAGTCTTAGAAAACGCAAAGACATAGTTATCAAAGCGGCCGATAAGGGCGGCTCAGTCGTTGTTTGGCGCACCGACCTCTACCAAAAAGAAGCTTTGCGGCAACTTTCTGACACCTCTTTTTATCAAAAGATCGACAAAGACCTCACTGCCAGCAATCAAAACTCCGTCAAGAATACGATCAACCAACTCATAACTAAACAAGAATTGCCGGCCACAGCAAAAAATCTCATCATAACCACTCCTAGAACTTCTCGTATTTACTTTTTACCTAAAATTCACAAACCTAACAACCCGGGTCGGCCCATTGTCTCGGCTTGCAGTTGCCCTACCGAACTTATCTCCAGCTATCTAGACAAAATTATGGCTCCCATCGTCAAAACTTTACCATCATATATTAAAGACAGCCAACACGCTCTTCAAATTTTTCGAGACTTTAATTTCCTTGGCCAAAACAAACTTCTTTTCACCATGGATATTACGTCTCTTTACACTGTCATTCCTAATGGCGAAGGCCTTCTGGCCCTTAAACATTTTTTTGATCAACGTACTGTTAAGGAACCTAAATCTGAAACACTACTACGCTTAGCCGAACTAGTGCTCACACTCAATTGTTTTTCATTCGGAAACAACTTCTTCAAACAAACCAATGGTGTAGCCATGGGCACCAAAATGGGACCTAGCTATGC